CCCAAGGTAGGTAAATTTTTTTCCCAAGGCCCCTGTTATGTACATATCCCCAAAAATTCCTTCTGTTGTGATGTGTATAAAAATTGTATATTTTTAACCCCTTTTTGACTTTTTCAGGGCCCCCCTCTGAAACTGTCTTTCTATGTCCCCAAAAATATTCGAAAAAAAAAAAATTAAATTTTTTCTTATGAAAAATGTTTAGGAATATTTTTACCAGTGTTTTAAGCCTAAAAAAAAAATTTTGCCTTTCAGTACTTACCGAGATATAGAGCCGCAAAGTTTGCAGAAATTGACGTGCGTACGGCAACAGCGGGGGACTGCGCCCCACCCGGTATTCTTTTATTTACTCTAATTCAAAGGTTTCTTGCATTTTTCAATTATTTTTCTTTTCCAGGTACTTATGTGGCCTGTGAGCCCAATGTAAGGTGCATTGTTCAAATATACACTCATTTTTACAACACAATAACAGAACAACTTTATCACTATTTAGTTTGTGTAAAACACTTTGTTTACACAAACAAACAATACAAAACAATGTTTATTTACTATTGTTCCTTTAATATATTTTACATATGTACAGTCACTAACCACGTTCCTAGAACTGCTGCAGCTTGTGGAACTCTTTGAAACATGGGTATATGCAGAGGGGCACTTCACACTCCTCACACATAAAACGAGTGTCTCTGCGTTTTTGTGGGCGTTTTGTGGTATGCATACATACATAACACCTCTTCTGAGCATTTTTCTTGGCAGTAGTAGGAGGCAGTTGTATGGGGTAGTGATCACCAGGCCTCAAACAAGATGACGTCTGTGGGCGCTGGTCTATTGCAGGAGTTGCTCCTTTGTACAGTGGACCCCCGGTTAACGAACTTTTTTCATTCCAGTAGTATGTTCAGGTGCCAGTACTGAACCGATTTTTTCCCATAAGGAATTTGTGAAGTGATTAGTCCATTTCAGACCCCCAAACATACACGTACAAACGCACTTACATAAATACACTTACATAATTGGTCGCATTTGGAGGTGATCGTTAAGCGGGGGTCCACTGTACTTTGCAATTATTTGTCTGATTACTGACAGGCAAAATTCACCATATTTTGGTGTTTTGTTGGTCTTCAACTTGTATATGTTATAAGCATTTAGCATAGAGATATCAACAAGATGGAAAAAAAGTTTGTTTATACCATTTTAATAACTCTTGCGTACACAGTCTGCAAACCCAATCTGCATGTCACATTTGTCCACTAAGCGCATATTGAGGTTGTAGTCCATGACAGCTGCAGGCTTTAGAATGGGTTCATTGGTCTCTCTGTTGTCCCTGCCACTGGGTACCTTTCTTTTGTGTGAACTGATGCAACAATGTGAATCACGTTTGTCTTTGCCACCGAAATGCCATGATGTCATTGGCAGCAAAGGCTTGCCCCTCACCTCTGCGAGTGCCAGCGTCGAACCTTGGCATATGTTTGCGATTCCCCACGCACTGTGCCAACACGTCTGTCAAGTTCACCCCGCAAGAAATCCCCTGAGTAAGGGGCTTGTGTACCAGTTATCAGTAAATAACATATGCCCCTTACCAAGATATGGTTCCATCATTGTTCGAACCACATCCACCAGAGTTACCCAATAACTTCATGGTATCTCTCAAGTATTACTGCCAGTTGTACACAATAATATCTAAAAACAAGACCACTTCTGCAATCACACAGTACAAATAGTTTTAACAAAGCGTTTCCTCTTGCTTGGTATATATTGCTTGAATGAGAGTCTTCCTTTGAATAAAAATCAAGGACCTCATCAATAACAAGCTTCCTGAAGGGATAAAAATACATGCAGCACTTTTGTTTCAGGTACATAAACACATTTTTATCTTATTAACCTGTCGCTTCTGTCAGGCCTGGTTTTGTCTGAAAAGTGTAACATAGCAACAGTATCAGGAAACGATTGACCTATAATGTCACTAAAACTGGAGTTGAAATCAGGCGATCTGTTGTCCATTATGTGGTGACAGTGTGTTTTATACACATGTGGCATAAGCATTATTGTGGCAAAAACAGGTACATCTCTGCCACAGTTGTCTCCTTCCAACCCTTTTGTAGCCGTGTTTTTGGTGAGAGAATTGTATTTGCCATGGTGTATTAAAACAGTATGTGTTGGTTTCCCTGACAATGATGTCCATCAGGGTTTACGAAGAATAACTCAAAGCAGTCCAGTTAAACTGGCATTTTTTCCAAGTGGACAAGATGGCTTTATTCCATTTTGGTGTTTATCAAAGTTCATGGGGACTGGGAACAAACTCGTCACCGTCCTGCCAATCCCCGATGCGGTCTGCTGGTGGGGTTGGATATTGTACCGTGGTTTTTTGGGTGTGGTTGTGGCTGTGCAGGTTGTGGTTTGGGGCAGGTTGTGGCAGTGTGGGGTAGGGTGAGGTGGTTGGTCTGCTGAGTCAGCCGCGTGGCTAGTAGCGTGGCCCGGTGATGGTGCCACATGGGCCGTGCCACCCTCACCTTATCACCACCATGCCTCCTCCCTCACTGTCACCATTCATACCATCGTTACAATATGTCATCTTCACTATCAGGTCGTGGTGTTGGGCCACGGGATGTTGCTCCCAGAGTTTCTCCTTCCCTTGGAAACAACATATGAAACTACCAGACCGCATGTACGTCGTACATACTGGCGCTTCACTGGGGAATATTCACTCTCACTGTCACTAGAACTGCTTTCAATGACTTTTTAAATCACTATCACTTTTCACTATCACTTAAAACACTGCTATCATCAGGGTGTTGTACCCCCGACCAATAGTTTCCTCTTTGTCCTGGTACAGGCGAACGTGAAGTGAAAAAGCCGGCACAGCCCCCAGAGGTCGAAGGTTGTGGGTCATCTGGGTTTTCGTCACTATTTTACGTTATTCCTGGGCATTTTTTCCGGTACACTCACTTGAAAACCTTGGATTCACTGTCACTGGGCACTTTCATCGCTGTTAGAGGCTATCACTTGGGAACAAAAGACCTCCAATCCGCCGAGGGAGTGAGGGAAACTTCTTACGAAAAGGCATGGTGAAAATGGACTGACAACATTGCTTCCCACTGCACCGCTAGGTCCCAGATTTTTTTACAGGGTGCACACCGACCACCTGGGACCATTCTCCCCGTGTAGGCCTATTCAGGCCTTTGGCGTCGATTGAAGCGCTAGAATTTGTGCTATAAATACGTTCAGAAACATGGCTCGTAAGGGTTATTTTATACTCGGAACAGTCAAAGGGGTTAAAAATGAAAAGAGGGAGGAAAATAGTTAACTGATTAACTTGCTAATTTCAAGAAAAACTTTCATTTTTTAAAGCCATGATTCTACACAAATACCACACATAGGAGAATTTTCACTCATGACAATGTTTGCACTCCGATTTAACCACACTTTCACTCTATATGGGGGTTATTTGTTAACTGTTTTGGTCACAATATTGTACCTATTTATTCTTTATGATACCCCCTAGCTTAAAAATGGAGTTCCACACAACCAAAAGTGAATAGAAATTTAGAATTAAAAATTTAATTATGTAGTTTTGCGTACTTGTAACTCCAAAACTCTAATAAAATTCATGCCAGAGTAATGGAAAAATGAAAAAGTATTCAAAATAACTAAGCTATACGATACATGAGGAACAATAAAGTATTCTGTAAATGTGTACCTGATCAGCCTGTATATGTATTGTGCTTGTATGAACAGTATAGTATACTGCACGCATACATGAGCAGTACAGTAACATGCACAGCATACCTGAACAGTACGTATACTGCACAGCATAATGAACAGTAAGTATACTGTACAGCATACATGACAGTACAGTATACTGCACAAACATACATGAACAGTTTCAGTATACTGTACAGCATACATGAAAAAAATACAGTATACTTGTACAGGGATACTGAACAGTACAGTATACTTTTACAGCATACAGGAACAGTACTGTATACTGTACAGCATACATGAACAGTACAGTATACTGTACAGCATACATGAACATACAGTATACTGTAAACATACATGAACAGTACAGTATACTGTACAGCTACTGCAGTACAGTATACTGTACAGCATACATGAACAGTTTCAGTATACTGCACAGCATACATGAACAGACAGTATAATGTACAGCATACATGAACAGTACAGTATACTGTACAGCATACATGACGTACAGTAAAACTGACAATACATGAACAGTACAGTATACTGACAGCATAAAATGAACAGGTACAGTATACTGTACAGCATACATGAACAGTACAGTATACTGTACAGCATACATGAACAGTACAGTATACTGTACAGCATACATGAACAGTACAGTATACTGTACAGCATACATGAACAGTACAGTATACTGTACAGCATACATGAACAGTACAGTATACTGTACAGCATACATGAACAGTACTGTATACTGTACAGCATACATGAACAGTGCAGTATACTGTACAGCATACATGAACAGTGCAGTATACTGTACAGCATACATGAACAGTACAGTATACTGCACAGCATACATGAACAGTACAGTATACTGCACAGCATACATGAACAGTACTGTATACTGTACAGCATACATGAACAGTACAGTATACTGTACAGCATACATGAACAGTACAGTATACTGTACAGCATACATGAACAGTGCAGTATACTGTACAGCATACATGAGCAGTACAGTATACTGTACAGCATACATGAACAGTACAGTATACTGCACAGCATACATGAACAGTACAGTATACTGTACAGCATACATGAACAGTACAGTATACTGTACAGCATACATGAACAGTGCAGTATACTGTACAGCATACATGAACAGTGCAGTATATTGTGCTGTACTACATACATGAAGAACCTTTAAATTCAGATTCTGTGAAAGAAAACTGGGCACAACTGAGCTTGTCTAAAAAAGAATTTGTATCTCAATAAACATTCAAGCCACAATATATGTAACTTACGATCACATTTAAGACGTGGTAGTGAGATCTTGATGTAAACAGGTATTCTGTCGGTCGATTCACCAGGGTTATCTACATAGAATTCTGACACACTGAAAATTAACAAATGTTGATTAGAATAAGGTCTCATAATTAAGAGAGATTCTTACAGACTAGGGTTCCAGAGCCAATCCTTCAGCAGTTTAATGTTACAAAACAAACACCAAGGCAAAAAAGGCTAAACACTTTAAGAGAACATTTCACTTGTAGCCAAGGAAAACTTGCCTTAATAAAAGCATTCATTCTACCTGGGTGTGTGTTTTGCAACTTGTTGGTATTTCATGTTGCTTACACCTAGTGCCAAGCTTGCAAGGAAGTGGAGTTTAACATTTTATCTCAAAACAAAACCAGAATGTGTGTTTTCTTTATAACTTTTATATTACAAGAATTTAAGAGATACTGTACTCACATTTCTCCTGAGAGAAAGTGCAGGAGTTCGGAAGTAAAGAGGATCAACATAAACGTGATGCATGTTACACTAATCACAGCCCCAGTTAATGTTGGCTGTGTTAAGTCTTTTGGTACTTTGCGATATATATCAAGTCTGGAAAATATTGAAACAATATGCACATTAATAATACTAATAAACTGACTATGACATCACAATGTACTTAGATTATTGTTGTAATAATACTGTACCTATATGAAACAGCAAATATTATATATGTATTTATAATCCCTTAATTGTGTCTGACATACAAGTATGCGCAATTTTTCATGCCTTGAAATATGCTACCTGCCAATACTTTTGACCTTATCATGACTCTCCCCAACCTCTTCATGCCTTTAAAAAAAAAAAAAACTAAGACCAGATGGGCCCATTTAGTGCATCATGAGTAACACTGCCTAACTAGCATAAGTACACAATGAACCATGACCTGTTGTTCCACCACAGGCATCCCTACCAACAAAATGGGTGTGCAGCTAACAAAGATGTTTTATCCCTTCCAAATTTATTACAATTTCATGATACCAACAGTGAAATTTAGCTAAAAAGCAAACTATGTAGACAGAACCTAGGATAACTCAACATAGTTAAACAATGTCACTTATTTCCATGATTTAACGAGTCTTACACCTTCAAACAATTGTAATATTGTAAGATTTCCTTCTAACTAGGCTATCAGGAAGGTGAATCTTATAGAGGCCAGTTAATGACAGCTATAAAATACCAGAGGAAGATTATTACTGACCAGGCCTGCTACACAATGGGCAAACAAATCATCCATGACACCAAGTCAATTTTTAATGTTTGAGATGACTGCCAAATTTGTGATGTACTGTAAACAGTGCCTTCTTGATGCATCCTCAATAAAGTATTTTTTTATAAATATTTGGCCAAACTCATTTTTCTGACTCTGGTTACTTTGTCATATGTTTTATACAATTGTTCACTGACACTGACACATTGACCACTGAGACATTCCTAGGAGTGGCCCAGTGAGGTTGCTGTAACTGCATGTGGTTGTAGGGGTTGATTCACAGATTCTAGCCCCACCTCCTCACTGGCTACCGAGTCCTCTCTCTCCCAGCTTCAAGAGCCTTGTTGTAACTCTTCTTAAAGCTATGTATGGATCCTGCCTTTACTTCATTCTCCAGATTGTTCCACTTCCTGACGATTCTAAGGTTGAAGAAATACTTCCAAACAACTGCTAGTTGTGCCCCCTTATTCCCATTTCCCGTCTCAAACATTCTTTCACTCTTCACCCTGTCAGTTCCTCTCAGTATTTTATGTCATTATCATATCCTGTTCTCCAGTGTCATCAAGTTGAATTCCCCTAACTTCTCCTCATAGGACATACCCCCTTAGCTCTAGGACTAAGTCTTGTTGCAAACCTCTGCACTTTCTCAAATTCCTTGATGTGCTTGACCAGGTGTGGGCTCTGTACAAGTGCTGCATACTCCAAAATGAGCCTGACATACACGTACAGTATTGCGAATGTACTGATGTTAAAACACCATTCTTAGATTTGCCAGACGTGCATTTGCTGCAGTAATTACTTGGTTGACGTGTGCCTCGGGATACACTCAGCATAATGCCCCAAGGTTCTTCTCCTTGAGTGAGGTTTGTAGCCTTTGCCCCCCCTGAGCCTGTACTCTGTCTGTAGTCTTCTTTGTCCGTCCCTAAGTTTCATATCTTTGCACTTGGTGAGGTCGTCATGTATGAGCCTATTCTTTTCTAGGTACTCCACCATTCTTCAGCTGATACTCTTCCCATAACTTTGCATACTATACATATCAGTGGCACTGATCTGTAGTTTAATGCTGCTTGTCTGATTCATTTCTTAAAAACTTGGATTACATATACCATCTTCCACACCTTTTGCAGTTGCCCAGTTTTGATGGACTTATTGAAGATTGTGGATAGCAGCACATTGTGCCTGTGCTCTCTCACTCAGGACCCACAGAGATATTATTTAGCCCCACCACCTTTGAGGTATATAGCTCACCACCTCCCCAGTTGTATAGTGTGTCTAGCACTTGCTGGTGCACTTTTCTGCCTCAGTTTGCTGGAAGCCTTTCTGTCTCTTCTGAGAATACCTCCCTAAATCTTGTGGTGAGCTTTTCACAGACTTCCTGGTCATTCCTTGCAAGTTCTCCACCTTCCTTCTTCAACCTGATTACCTGATCTCTGACTGTTAGTTTTCTACCTGATGTGGCTACATATGTAATAACTTTCGAGTCCGATTTGGTTTTCAGTGCTATGCGAGTCTCAAACTGCTGTTAGGACTTTTTCCTTATCTAAGCATTCTTGCATGTGCATGTAAGAGTATGCGTGTGCATGCAAGAGTGCAAGTGTGCAGTGTTTATTTTGGATTCTGCTATTAACCCTTTCAGGGCAGAGAGGCCCTCTCCTAAACTTGTTCTCAAGGTAGAAATTTTTTTGGAAAAAAAAAAAAAAAAAAAATTTCTTATGAAGAGATAATCTTTTCCCAATCATAATGACACGAAAAGTATGAAATTTGATGGAAAAATTACGGAATTATGCTCTCGCGAAGTTAGTGGTCTCGACTATGTTTACGCATTGGCGATTTCGCCCACTTTGAGCCCTATTTTCAGCCAATTCCAATGTACTAGTCGACAAAAATCATAACTATTTTGCTCGAACTCCATTTTTTGTATCAAACGAGTACAAGAAACAACCCATTTACCGATTTCAACTATCCAATAAAGTGGTCAGAAATTAGCAATTTTGCCAATTTCACACAAATTTCAGAAGATGCCAATTTCCAAATAGGGTCCAGAATAAACAAGACAGACATTCCTGACACTAAAATAACATTTCCTCTGTTCATTAGTCACATCCCCAGGCCCCTCTTACATTTCTTTTGCTTTCCACTTTGAATTTTTATTCTCCCAAAAAATAGAAGATTTACTGTTATGCAGACTACTGTATTAGCGTAGAAATGATATAAACAATGTCAGCGCACTTGTGAAAGAATATTAGACTCACCAGTTGATGTGTATTGGACACGTGGCATGATTTGTTGACTTTTGACTTTGGCAAAAATCGAACATTTTTGCTACTTTGAACTCAATTTTAAGGTACTTTTTATTGCAAAACCAATCAAAATCATGTCAATTTCTGTAATGTGTCTTCCATTCTATAAAATGAGACTAGAATACAATCATAAATACCATATGAAAATACAGTGCAAAGTCACTGTTGTAAATCAGAAACACGGTCAAAGTTTTTTTTTTTCTCATTACGCACTGTGTGCTGCAGGATTTTTTTTATACTGTGCACACTGACCACACAGAACCCATTCTTTCATATGTAGGCCTACCAGCTTTCTCTCGCTAGATTTGAAGGCGCTAGAATTTACACGTACTAGTACGTCTATAACCCTGGTTAGTAAGCCGTACTAGTATGTCGGAAACCCTGAAAGGGTTTTAAATCTGAATTTGAATTTTGTGTAGAAATGACCAAATTACTGACCTCTGAACTTTATAAGGAAGTTCTGATAGCTGAATTGGCAGTTCTTGTGCTCAACATATAGAATGGAAGGCATTCTATTGAAACAGCCATGATTTTGGTTGAAGTGAGCAATGAAACTGGTTTAAAATAGGACTTAAACAAGGAAAAATCCTTGATGTGTAACTTTGTGCCTATACAATTCTGCACGTTTTCCATCAAATTTTGTATTTTTGGTGTCATTACCTTCAGATATTTTTTTTTTTAATCCCAACATTGTTGACACTTGATTTTGGGGATCCCGGCAGTGAAAGGGTTAAGTTTGACTAAGACCTACATTATTTAGCCTCCAAGTGCCATTATTATTGTCTTGTTCTAGGATTAGAACTTTACATTAGTCCACAGTGAACTATATCTGCCACTTTCCAAACCACATCAACCAATCCAGGTCATCGTGTCGCTTTCTAGTGCCATCAGTAACTGTCCAATTGCTCATTCTCGTGTCACTGATAAACTTATGTCACTATTTATTCCCTCACCTAAGTCATTTATGCAAGTTGTGAACAAGAGGCCCATACTGATACCTGTAGCACACTACTCATAATGGGTCCCCCATTGATTTCATCCTAAACATACTTAGCACTTTTAAACCCTTAGACTGTCCAAATGTAGATCTACGTTCACGTGCGTAGTGCTCCAACCTTTATTTTCCCCATTTGAAAGCATGTAAAAAAAAAACGTAGACCTATGTTCGGAGCCCCCCCGCACGTGAACGTAGATCTATGTTTGGACATTTTAAGGGTTAAATATGTATTATATTAATTTTGAAAACCAACAAACCGATGAATAAGACAAGTGGCTTTATCAATCCAAGAGATAAAAAAAAGTGAAAGATATGAAGGAATTTGAGATAATCTGCATACCTCAGTTTAGAGATGATTTGTTCAGTAAATCAGCCTTGCTAAAAGTACAGAATATGCACGGGGGCAAGATCTAGCATCAGCAAGGTCAAAAGCTCAGTGCCCCAAGGCACTGTCCTGGCACCTCTGCTGTTTCTCATCCTTATAGCAGACATAGCTAAAAACACCTGGCACACTTTTGTATCTCCATTTTCAGACGACACTAAAATAAGCATGAAAGTCGCTACGGAAGAGGACACAGGAAGACATAAGCAGGGTTTTCCAGTGGGCAGTGGAGAACAACATGATGTTCAGTGGTGATAAGTTCCATCTGCTTAGGTATGGAAAGAATGAAAACCTCAAAAGGAACACTATATACAATACTCAAGAGGGTCACCAAATAGAACATAAGGAATACGTAAAAGACCTGGGAATAATTATGCCAGATGACCTTTCTTTTAACCCTTTCAGGGTTTCGGCCGTACTAGTATGGCTTACGCCCTAGGGTTTTTGACGTACTAGTATGCCTAAATTCTAGCGCCCTCAAATCTAGTGAGAGAAAGCTGGTAGGCCTACATATGAAACAATGGGTCTATGTGCTCAATGTGTGCAGTATAAAAAAAATTCTGCAGCACAGTGCGTAATGAGAAAAAAAAAAAAACTTTGACCGTGTTTTTGGATTAACCCTTTGACTGTTTTGGTCATATATATACGTCTTACGAGCCAGTG